TAGACTATATTTGTATAGTTATGACTAAGATTAACTTAATTAACATATACATCATACTAAACGTAAACTAAATATTTTTCACAGTATTTTTTTTTGTCGGTAAAATTCTATAGTAAAAAATGGGCATGGTTGTATGTTACATTCGTGTTTCTAAATATCATGATCATGTTTAAACGGCTTAATCGATTTCAAAGCATTTTTTTTTTAAAACTCTAGCTACCGAGCGCGGGATCAGGGATGGTCGTCCTAGAACCAGAGGAATAGGTTTTTATACTGAAATTTCACTAGACTTTGTGGTGATTATTGTTGAGTTGCCTGCACGCTACATAATTTATTATAATATTAATCTGTATTAGTGTTGTATGACAATTTGTTTCACGTAAAATGGAATATATTTTATTTTATAAAATTATATTTTTCACCCCAAATATGAACATCCTATGTCTAATAGTTTAAATTTATTGTTATAAATTATAATCACAATGTACAGTGTTTCACGGTACCTTTGCAATATAATATTATTAGATTAGTATTGATGAGTAGACTATAGCTATATTTCCATGTTAACAGTAAATGTAGTAACAAATTAAAATATAATTAACTATTGGCTAACTGAGTCTGATATATCGTTGGTCAGACGTTGTATATTATTGTATTGAATCTCACCCGACGATATATAGTAGCGACTCGCGAGTCGTTATAAAAGATATTGGACTGTATTGTAATTTGTAATAAGTGAAAAAAATACAGCTGACTCAGCTGAGATTTAAATACATAATAATATTAACTACCTGTCACCTGGGTGTATTATTTGTTGTAGTATTTAAATATTTCCTATCATTATATTTCTACTGACGACATGATGTTACTGACGACTGGCAAAATTAATAATCCGGCATCAATGCATCAACGCATCGTGCATTATATTATATAATACCAAAAACATGCCTAATATAGGTATTAATGTATTATACATGTAATGGATTAATATATTAATATTAGTATTTTAATCCTTGATATAGGTACAGAATATAATATACAGTGTGATCACGATTTAAGGTAACACTAAATCGTGATCACACTGTATATAGCCAAAGGAGGCTAAGGAGGCATATAGTAGCCCTCTTACCTCATTGACCGTGTTTATTTTAGCCAATATTAAGATATTTTATTTAAAAAAATGATTTTACAAAAAACCCTATGGCCTCCCTCCCCTTAAGAAATTCTGACTACACCACTGTAGATATATTGCACCTAAATATAAATGTTGTATAAATGGTAGCTTCGGAACCTACGATAAACGATTGGTAACTTTTTTTAAATATTATTTTCCCGAGCCCAGGAATACACGGGCACACCTATTCATTTTTCGAAAATCTGACGCATTTTATGATTACAAATCAGATGAACAATACATTCTCGTTCTTCATTTCTTTGTTATCTATTAATTGTTTTTCTTGTTCTTTTCTTTTTTATGTGAATATTGTTGTAATTGTTGAATTGTAATAATTTAAACATTGTAAGCTAATAAATACAGCTTAAACAAAAAAAAAAACTTTCTCGTTATATTTGAAATACATAATTTCGAAAGCATATTATTTATATTTGTCATTAAATATTTGATTCCCAAATACTGTTACAATATTTTGTCCAGAATATGTACCTATGGGAAACCGTTCAAATATTAATAAAATGTTAATATTTACATTTTGCTGTGTGGGTCTTTGTGTCCGTCCGTTATAGTTACCGGTACGATTATTGTTATTTATTTATTGTCTGTAGACAGTTACAATGACAATTAAGTTGACATTTGTTTTTATAATGTAATAATCGTATTAAAAACATATTTTGGTATATCTAGAGGGCGAATTTTGTCATGATTTATACACGCATCCCTTCCACTCCCACGAGGAAATCATGAGTACGCCCCTACCAACTACAGTCTAGTCTCGATAACTAGAATTTTTTTCTTGTCCCTTCGAGTGTTTTTAAGTTTGAGATAGGTGTACAACTCGAAAAATACGACAAGTCGAATTCCTTTTTATTACCCTTGAGATTCTGGTTGTCGATAAGACTCGAATGTATAATATATTGTATACGGTACACCACTACACCTATAGTAGTATATTGTAAACCTCACATGATGGTTGTACGCATAAAAAGTGTGTACAATCATAATAAATAATTTATACTGTGAGAACATGCGTATATTATTATTATTATTATTATTATTATTATTATTATTATTATCATCATTATTTCGTAAATCTATATAATAATATAATCTATGCGGACGTATAATCTTTGTGGTATTGTGGTGCGCCGGTGAGAGGGTCCTTAGAAAGTTTGGAGATCCTCTGCAATGAAAAGATAATATGGTTACAACGATACAAAAGATTATTTTAATATTAGTATTGGATAGGTATAGAAACACTCCAGCAATACACGCATAATACACCTAATTTATTCTTAAGTGTCAACCGTTATTCGTTATCGGTTATTTATATATTGTTGTAGGCGTTAGCTTTAAACGCAGCACATTGTAAATTAAGATTGACATAAATACAATATTATTGTGAGCTGTCCCATGTTAACGTTCTCGCTATTCTCTGAACAAAATATTCCAGACGAATTTTCTTGTAGGCGTTAAGGCTGTTGAAAGCTGGTCGTTTTTTTCGTAATCCGTCCATGTTTAAAGTAAAAGTGAATAGAAATTAGAAAATTAATTTGGTTCTATACTAATTAAACAATACAACGAATCGAAAATCCATTTCCTACATAACCTAGAAAAGAGAATGAGGAATTCAAATATGTTTTCAAAATTAAAATCGGGCTTTTGGTACCGGGGGAATTTTTCTTCCGTTTTTTGGGGCTTTCATGTTGAAACTTTTTTTGATCTCAACATAAAGTGACGTGTGACTGCGCGTATGTACGTTGAGGATTTCCAAGAATCTTAGCAGCAGTTTGTCTTTAATTACATGAAAAGATGAGACACACTAAAGATCAGTCACCACGCACACAGTTACACATCACTTACGACGTTATAGAATATTGCCTAAATCCAATCCCTTAAAAACGGTTCGCTTTCAACAGCCCTAAGTTTATTTCTTTTGTAGCTTTCTTCAGTCCTATTCAACGCTCAAGATGTAATTTTAACAATAAAGTCTCAACCCTGATGTATTATTATAAAATAATAAACAAGGCCATGGAGGCCATAAGAAACCACTATCAATCATAATGTATTAAACTCTCTCTCGAAAGAAGTCGTTTTACGACTAACCAGGTACAATAATTATAACTTATAACACATTTAGTATGCTGATTATATTAGATCTAGTATTAAAATTTATTTGTGTAGGGCAGAGTATTCTCGTGTTAGGTTAGGTTATTCCTATGTTATTCTATGAAAATCGTTTTGAGTGTGAAAATACAGAACAACACTTGCGGCTGAATATTTTATCGTTATTATTTTTTAATAACTTTCAGCGCATATTGTTTGTTTATCGAAATATCACGTCATACTACCGTATGCGCCGTATACGTAAAAGATAGATCAGTGAATATTTACTGGACAATAATTAAAAATATGCAAAACGCATATATATTATCAGCAGCTGGTTGAAAAAAAATGTTATTATTTTCTCATACGAAGTACAAAGGACTGCATATATCAGTATATCGCATATACCAGCATTATGCCTATACATAGGTAATATAAATAAAGGCTTGTGTGAAAATTTCTGTGACTTCTAGTTCGTTAATGTAGACATGGGTATCCGGGATTGGCTGGATTTATCAATTATTGATATCATTTCTGGGTACCTACCTATAAATTATAACCAACTTATAATTATTTTATACTACAATCAATAAATTAATCAAACCCGATGCAGCATACAAAATCAATCGGGACAGGGTCTCAAGTCTAACGCATAATACATATTATTGTACACTTATATCTATTAATTTGTTACTGTCCGTGTAATTTTTTTAATTTGTTTCTTCACCTTAATGGACGTACCTAACGTCATAGGCGTTTTATATTACTATATTATATTGATAAGTGACAACTGACAAGTGCCGCAAGTGGAAATGTTTTAAATATTATTTAACTATAATAATTATTAAATGTAATACATTTTAACGACTAATGATTTTTAATTATAATAAGAAATTTCTTAATTAGGATTAATAACTCATACTATTTGAAATTATGTTAGATTTTTTTGTAGGTCTTGTACATCTTGTGAAGCACCAAATTGAAAATCGCATAGACAATAAATATAGTTGCACGAAAAAGTTTTAAAAAAATGGTTGATATTCTAAAATCTAAATCGGTATATTGGTCACTCGTTTTAGGGTATAGAACAGCATAAGGAAATGACTAGGTGATTAAATACCCAAACCTATAACATAATAATAGGTATCTATTAAATAGGTTTTAATGACCAAAATACGGGGAGAAATTATTGAAAATAAGATGCATTCAAATTAAATTGTAGGTATAATTTTTAATGTTTTTCAATTTTTCGAAATCTGAATTTTGACACAAAACAATGTTCTGAGAAACAAAGTGATAGAACACTGCTGCAGTCTGCTGTTTTAATTTTGATTTAGATTAGCGAACAAACTTCTACTTTATCAAAATAAAATGAACACTATTCACATAAATATGAAACAATCACTTACATCTTCCGGATTTAGAAATAATAAGCCAAATATATTATGTAACCATTTACCAATTTCAGGTGACTCGTCTTCATACACACTTGGTAAGACAATTTCTTGTATTTTACGGTACCAAGACTGGGTTAAGCGAAATCGGGGTCCTTAAATATTGGTTTGCGTCCACATTTCAGAAACTGCAATTAATTATAGCCCTTTCAAAATCCAAAGTTATGTTGGTGGGAGAAAAATTTAACCCCAAGTCTATGCACCTTTTGCTTATTTCACAAAAAACATAAGTATACGTTTGTTTACATTTATTTGGTAATAAGCAAAAAATTAATGGAACATAGTAACCATTAAAATATCAATGAATCAAAAAAAATTGTACAAAAAACCTAGCACTATAATCGAAAGTTCCTTCCATATAAATGTTATCAACTGTTGATAAAAATCTAAGATTTGTTTCACATGAAAATATAATTATATTTTCTTTTTCATCATCGACAAATAAAATTTTTTTTTTATTTGTTTGGTTTTCACGTCAATCGAATTGAGTACGTTTGAGCATCTGCTGCTATATTGGTATGATTTTAAGGCATAATTTTGCGTCGGTTTTCAGAAATATTTTTTCTGATTCTATTTATATAGTTAATGGTTATATCTGATGAACTACTTTTTTTCCGATTTAAGTTAGAATAAGTTTTTTTGATCTGGTACTTACATTTTCAATATAGCTTTTCTTTTACATGCTGTATTTAGCACCTGATTTTTCAATGCTTAGCTGGAATATTCACCATAGTTGCAATGTGGCGTACTCGTATTGTTAATAACCGTATAATTTTCATCTGTATGCGCTTTTGCTGGGCAGTTTTTAGTTATACACCGCTAACGAATAAGTCATTTATTACATGAACCAATTCGAAATTTAAAATTATCTAAAACCAACTGCTTATTATACCACGATTACTCTCAATTATATTTTTCATTGCGCGGAGTGTACTCTTTTTTTCACGAACTTCAACACAAACTAAAATATAATAAGTATCGTAAAATCCATACAAGTATAAAATATCAAACCAGAAACGCTTTATCTTAGCATGATAAAGTTTATTGAATTATTTTGTCGCATGAATTTAGAACGTAATCTTTCTTCTCTTTTCTATTAATGCTAAATTGTCATTAAGTTTTAATTCTACTTTAAGTACCTTGACTTACATAACTCATACAATAGGTATTACAGTCTTAATAAATGAAAACAAAATTACTTAAAATGACTGGTCTCACGTAATAAAATCTTATTTATTTATTATTATACATAATGTGGATTTTTTATACATCCCTAATTATTTATATACAAAATATTAAATAGTAATAAATTTGATTAAAATAATTGTATTTTGGAACTTAAATGAACCTAGTTAATTTAAAAATTCCCGTTCTGTTTCGGTTCTTAATAATTTAAAGGTTCCAATTCGTTTCGCTTCTGGTTCCAGGTCCTGAGCTCAACAAAAAAATCAAAAGACCAAAGAGTATTCGAAACTGCACCCAGAGAACAACTCAACTTGAATACTGTCCAAGTTAACTATCCAAAAATTTAACCAAATAAGTCTGATGGTCATTTGACAGTTCCGGAGTCCTTCCCTATCGATGTGATTACTGGTTTTGAAAAATTAGATAGATATGTATCCAGTTGAAGGGGTATTACGTTTTATTGGCTATTAGTATCAAACCACGGTTAAAGTGGTACCGAAAGCCGATATTGAAATGCACCTAAACACAGTAAAAATAATAAAAAAAATTTTCATTTTGTGCAAACACGTATCTGCACCATAATAAGGCAATAATTTCGAATTTAATATTTATATTTTTGAAAACCGTAAATGGTGGTAAGTTTTAATTAAACCATTAATTAAAACCTACATATTTCTCTTATAAATTTATAACAATAAAAATACGTATGCGAAAAAAAATTCATTTTTTTCATCTACAAAATATGCACTAGCTTTATTTCTGGGACGATTGAAAAAAATATCCGTCATCGACAGTGATGTCAACGACGTACTTATATCTACAAAACCTATAGGTACTTACAAAGGTACGTAAATAAAATAGTCATTAATTCTGTACTAATATTAAACAGGTAGGTAACATTAATGTTCGTTAGATATGGATATCTCATTTTCCAGTTTAATATGTTATATTTCACAATATAATATCCCAATTTTATTTATTTTATTTTTCAATTGTATATCACCGGTCAGTATAGATACCTACGTACTCGCTTTCCAAACATTGGAAGTATAATAACAAGCATGATATTGTTCGACAATTTCATATTCCCAATCGCAGCCAAGGTTTCGTGAAGGTTCAACGGGTCAGCGGAATATTTTATAATCTCCCCTCCATAAAAATATCAATATTAAAGTACTTACATATTACTTTGTTTGAAAATAATGTATTTTTGTAAATCATAAACAAAACGAAGCAAATCAAACCGTTTGGAAAATGTTGTATAATGGCCTATAATGCTATTAATAACAAAAAAATAACAATTGTATTATTCTAATATGCTGAAAGCTTAACATGTCATCTATAATCTATATTATAGGTTAGTCGGGTATGCGTAAAAGTAAATTAGATTTTATTATTTTAATGTGTAATTTTTGAAATAAACCATTTAAACTAAAGTATTACTGATATTAGTACCTATGTTATTACTCATTAATAATCAAATAAGAAGAATATAACTTTCATAAAGTACGTGAATATAACGGCATAATTCAACTTTCATCAATATCTACAATTTAAATATTTCAAACTAAACATTAAAAAATATAATTGTTTTATTTATTTTATTATTCTTGTTTTAATACGCTGTTAGTTATTGCCTATTGGTTGTACGCTGGCCAACTTCACTAAATTTTGACTACCCCGTCTGACGTATTATCTAAAATCTTAAAAATCTGCCCAAAACTGTAGAGTTTCAATCAATTACGTTTGTTGTGAACTCACGATTTAATTAAGTTAAATTTTATAAATAATGCCCAACAATGTCCAACGGGTACATAAGTAAGGTTATAACTTATAAGTTATAAGTTCAGAAATTAATTTTTAATAAATTTCGACGGTAGTAAAAAATAAAAATTGTATGATGAGCTGTGGATAAGTTATTTAAGGGTTCTGTTGTAGTTACCGGTCTATCTATTTTCCTTGACAATTATATTATTTTTTTAAAACAATTAAATCATGTTCACTCGCGGCATTGTGGATATGCAATTCAATGTACACTACTTTCAAACAACACGTTTCTGATAGCCCCGTTAAAAAAACAATTTATCGAATTTCGGTACAGAGATAACAAAAATAAATAATATTATACAAAGTATAACTAAATACCTACTTAAAATACATAATAATGATTTAAACTTCGTTCATTTATTATTATAATTTATAGTTTTGAAGTATGATATTGTATTTACTGTATGTAGTATGTACTGAACCCAAAAAGGCATAAACACGCAATAAAATATTTTTATGAAAAATAAATTACCAATCGTAGATACCTCTATTGAGATTTACACTTCAAATACAAGATATTTAAATATGATAATATGACGTGTCATTTTTTAAAGTGTTTTGATTCATATTGGTATTATGACAGTAAATGTGTAAAGTATTTTTGTATTTGTGTTTATGTCGTAAAAAAGTGGGGAAATATGTAACCACTCTGTTGTACTACAGGAGTCAAGAGTATCTCATCGTATTTGAATAGGCACTTTAATGGAGAATGTGTTAAATAATTCAACGATAAATCATTGTATACGATTAGAAACGATTCTGAACGAGTACGGCTCATTTTAATAATAATATTAAACATTCGTAATTGTTTAAAGTTTTTCCCGAATAGTACCTACTGAGAATTTCCAACATTAACCTCCTAAAATTACCAATCAATTTGATACAAAAGACTTCTATTGAAGTTAATGATCGGATCATTTCTTCTTCAGGAAAATGTCTTCAGACACAATCAAATAGAAACAAAATAATACGCGTAATTTTAAAATCAAAACATTGATCGCTCAACTTGGAATCTAAAATATATTATTTATGGGTAGGTAGGTACCTACCTATAAATTAAGTAGTAAGACCGAGCAACGGCCACCGATATATAAGAAAAACAAATGATAACTGACTTCAGTGGCATACCCGTGGGGGGCTAAGGGGGCTCCATGATATTCCTGAAAATGGTTTTAGAGAAACATTTTGGGTATTATCAATATTATTTGTAGACATTATTGCGGTTACGGAATATAGTTATAACGACGCTTAGTATAAAGTAACAGACATAAAATTCTGATTTACTTTGTTTACTAAGCAAGTTATGAGCAAACGCGATCTACAAGAAACATCTACAATTTTAAAATACTTTGAAAACTTGGTTTAAAATATCAAATAAACTTTACAAAGTGCCTTACAAAATGTTCTTGCCTTTAAATTTGATTCCAGGGTAATGCACTATAATTTAAAAATAACGGAGTAAAAGGTAAAACGGATTCTTCTTACAGCAATGTAATAAATGTGGTATGCATTACTGAGAAGGAAACAACATAATATTATTATTCTGGCATAAACTAAAGTCCATTGAATGTAAAAATGAAATTCTAAAACGTTTTAATCCTTAGTCACTTAGAACAACATTTATTTTCAAATGCAAGCCTTGCCTTATTACAGGTTGATTAAGTTCTGATCACTATTAATGTCTATTGTCTATTTAACTTTCAAACATTCAACATTGCTTAATTATCGTATTATGGTCATGGCTCATGATTATAATTTATAACCAATGGCTAGTGACTAGTGAGTAATGGATGATTTAGTTCCTACTTTGCTTCATTCGTTTTATACAAAGTCGGCAATTTAGTTGTTTCTATACAACTATATAATATTTTATTAGCTCAAAAAAATGCTAACTTTTATATTTTGAAAAAATATACCTATTTTATTGTATTCTAAGAAATTACTGTCACAATAATAATCTGTCACACCAATAAATTGGCAATCAATACAATAAAAAAAAAATAGTAATTAATAGTTGTAATGTATTTGTATTTAGATTTTAGACTCATGTGGGGATGAACATAAAAAAGTGTGTTTTGTGAAGGAAAAAAAATAAAATATTGTTCAATTTATTGTATGTACAACAATAATAATAATTAATATAATTTCATATAGTTTTATTTCTTATGTAGGTAGGTAATCTAAAAGTAATACAAATTTTAGAAACAACAATCAATCAGCACTTATATTCACCATTGATTTCAGACTTCAGTTAACTTTGTTACAGTCGTGTACAGTGTACTATTATTATTTAATATAATAATGTAGCTTATAGCTTAGTTTAGGTATAAAATAATTAGTTTATAACAAGTTTACAGTTTTAATTTGTATGTATAGGAGATAGATGCATTTGTTTTTATAAAATATCTGTTACTCTTAACAAGCAAATCATATTGTTACCTAGTTAATAAAAATTAAAAATTGTTGCTACAGTGAGTGTTAAAAGTATTTAAATTATAAAATATGTGAGGAAGGAATGGTATTTTGATAAAATGTAAGTAGATATGTGGTTACAAGCATTGGTTTTTAAGTTACCCACTTTGGCTGGTCAAAACAGTTGTCCCTTTCTATTGAAAACTGCAGCGATGCCACTATAATAATAAATCCTTTGCTATAATTATCAATCATGCTTTGGCAATGCTGGATGAACAAAAAATGGGTTCAATCATAATAGGTACCTACTATTAATGTTGATTCAATAAGGAACACGCTCAATACAAAAAACTGCTGCTTAATTATTTTACAGATGGGTTCTTTGATATAAATATCATCTATTAATTAAACTAAACTATGGATATTGTGTAATGTGTACAGGATAACATTTTTAAAACAGTTTTCTATAATTTTTTTGTTATGAAGAAATACTTATTTAAAGTTCATATTTAGGCCAATAGTATGGGTTATCAATCACATTTAAGGGGGCTAGAACGTTAGATTTTTTAAGGAGTGATATTTAAGCATTTCATATAGCATTTATATTTGAACTGTTACTGTGTGAGAAGTAAATGAACAATAGTCTATAATTCATAAAATTTGTAATCACCTTCTTGTGCCATCAGGCATAGACAGGTCACCGCACGCATATCGACCACGCCGATAAGTTTTCACCCACACAGGCACATGCCAATGATACAGATTTAAATGTACACCTAACCTTACCCAACCATCAAATGACAACAATTCCAAAAAGCTAGGAAAAATTAGAGAACTCGGATTTGATGAATTTTAATTTTGAAAATGGATATTAGACGTTGAGTTAGTTGAGGGATTTTATTTATTCAAATTCTTCGATAAAATATTATCAATTTAGAAAAAAATAATTTTGGTATTTTATATATTTAAGTTTCATTAATTTTTGTAATAATGATACATTTCTATGGTCATTATTTAGTGGAGTTGTTGGAGACTTTCAATCAGATTTCAAAATTAAAATCCTTCAAACTGAAGTTCTATAATTCTGTCTAGCTTTTGACCTGTTTTACGTAATTTGTTCCTGCTACGGCCCCTTTAAGATATTTGTTAATAGTTTTTTTTTTTTATACATAAAGGAAAGTGTGGAAAATGTAATTGATGTAAAGCATGTATTTTACAATTAATCCATCTTTCCAACTACCATATTATAATATGGATAAAACACAAAGAATAGAAAAATGATAATTTAACTACTAAAATAAATAAAACATTGATGTTAAATTAATCCGTAATATATACTTTGATAGAAAAGTAAATGCAAGTCTAATTTTTTATACACTCAAATATTACACTTAACTTTTATTTACATAATGTGAGAAAAAAAATTATACAAATTACGTGTAAAATAAAACGAGAAAAAACTTTATATTATACACATCAAAATATCTTTTGGAAAATCAATAAAAACATACAAAATTCTAAACCTAATCAATTTCAGATTATCCTTTTACAACACATTTTAAAAAATATTCGATAACCATAAAATTTGTATCGATGCTTTTAGATACCTAACCATAATATAGATACACATATCATTATTATAATATTATAGGAATAACTAGACCACAACAGAAATGATCTGAATAGTTGACACATCTGATTAAAATAAAAAAATAAACAAAAACAAAAAAAAAAATTATAAAGTATATAATAATTAAATAGTAAGTTTACTGTTAATTTGATTAAGAATAATTATAGATAAATTACGTACAGTATAATGAACTTTACTTAACACAATTATGCTGCCTACGAGTCATAAAAAAGAGAAAACAAAAATGTCAACACCCTTTCAAGAGAGAGCATCATTTTACATAACTATAGATTCATATACTATTAATAAACTTATTAAAGATGATAAGATTATTTATATTTGGTGTAGTAGATCAATGAACAAATTCAATTTAGTCTGAATGTTCATATACATATTTTATACATATATAGAGATCTGAATAAAAGCGCTATTCTGTTTACACAATTATTATATAACACAGTGATGTACATAAAATAGGCATTTTTCAAACATTAATAATTGTTTGTAACCATAACATAATTTAAAATACACGGTTATGACTAGTAGTGATAGTTTTTATAAGGTACTTAGAAATATGGGATAATAGTAGTGTTATTATATTAAACTTATTTAGATAGTAAAAAAAAAATTATACAAATAAAAATAATATCTAAATTTCTTTATTTAATTGTTTAGCTTTTTCATTACTTTCATAAGAAACTTGTTCATCAGCATTTAGAGGATAAAGTTCTCAATGTTCTAAACTACTGTATGATAATAATAATTAATTACACTATTTACATTTACATAATGACAGTAGCCGTATAATATTATTAAAACTATTATAATTTTATAAAAGTCAAAATACAAAATAGCAATACAAATCGTTATCACATTTTCACAGCAGATTATGGATAGAACAAGAACAAGTCATATCACTATTAATTTTAATAGATATTTACTAAACAGATCATATAAATAAAGATGTATTTTATTCAGCACTGAAGTGATTGGTTACAGTACAACCAACTATGAAGAAATAATAATTATAGTATAACAAAAAAAGATAAATGAAATAAGGTTCAAATGTTTCAAAAGAAACAAATGTTTAAGAAAAAAGAAAAAGATAACAAATTTATAAAATAATTTGGGAGAACTTATTAAATGACTAGTCTATTGAATGGTTCTAATAATTGATATTTAACACATTTGGGATGATTGATTTCTTATTACTTTATGGGGAGTTCACTTCTATGTGATACCATTAAATTATAACTTTTCTTGATATAAATTCACACCAATTTGTTTTACGGTTTTCATTGTTCTGAAAATATAACAAATATATATATTAATTAATTTACAAATATTTGAATTCAATCAATCATTCAAAATAATGATTTTAAAATAATTGTTATAGAGTGGCGTCCCGCTTCTAACCTAATTATAGTATAATCAACAGTATATTACTACACAACAGCGTAAATGAGGTACAATAATAAATGAGTATCCAAGGAGAGCAGGTCTAAGTAATAAGGTAGGGTGATTACAGACGGACACAGCATCCTTGGAAAAGATATTCATATCAAGATGGCTAAGAGAAGTAGAGGGTAGGCCTATATAGGATAGCTCTGAATAGCCCATGTTCAGATGTAATTGAACCAGATGACCCAGAGCATGTTCACACCAGTTAGTCCAGTTAGTTTTTAAGGACTTAGAAAATATTCGTGTCAAACCAATTTTTTACTAAACATTTAGGATAATTCTCAGAGTACGATATTTTTATATAGAATAATATTTCACCAGTTATCATTAAAGTGTTTAAATTGAAATATATCATCGAAATTATACAACATTTAAAGGTCTCCGCATTTATTTCAATAAATACACTTCATCCTTTTTCTTTCAATAACACCTGTAGTTGCAAGATCACTACAATATATATATATGACAACATTGTGCACAAATTATAAATAACTGAAAAACTAATAGATAAACAAGTGTAGTACACTAGTACAGCGTTTCCCAAAGTGTGTTCCGCGGAACCTTAGGGTTCCGTGGGACAATGTCAAGGGTTCCGTTAGATGTATGAGATTATTGAGAAAATTATGTTTATTTAATGTTTGTTGTTCAAAAAATGTTTGATTGAAAATTTTTTTTTAACTAAGTTTAATAATGAAAAGTCATTAACAGTATCATTAAAATATTATTTGGACTTGAGAGTTTAAGGAATTGATTTTCCTTTTTTAATTTACAAAAATTATAGTTGAGTTGGATTAGACATTAGGGTTCCGCGAAACACAAACAATATTTTAAGGGTGCCGTGGTCGTAAAAGTTTGGGAACCGCTGCACTAGTACACTAATATACACGTAAGCAGATTAAAATACGAATAGGCAAGCATACGTGCGATAGGTATTTGTATGTAAGAAAATTTCAAGAAATTCAGTTTTAGCTCATAAACTTTTTTGGTTGTCAGCTGTAAATGAGTAAGAATAGATTTAGATTAACAAGAGTCAAATGAAAAATTACCCTGTACAATACTGTAATAACACTGTTAAGGAGGCATTAAATACTAGGGATGGGTTGTTAACCACAATATCTGCATTTGTTATTTACAATACCATTGATAATCTTTGTTATGGTCAAAGGCACGTCAGGGGAAACTTGGAGATGGCCTTTAAATTCTTTTAACATTAATATACATAATAGATAAAATAGACATGAATAAACTTATAACATAGTTAATATGTCTTCACTAAATATCCAGACAAGTTACACATATGGGTTTTAGGCATTAACTTTTTTTGAATTTTTCTATAGTTATTTTTTTTACTTATTTTAATTAAAAATTTCATCCATCTCAAAAAGATTTAACGTTCTTACATGTTTATTGTTAAATTAATAATTTGTATAAAATTTTAACATAATTAGTTTTATTATTACACTAACTTTTTTTAAATAAATTCAACTTTGTTAAAACTTATACACACAATATAAAACAATAATGCAATGCAAAACAATATAAATGTACTAAAATAATTAAGAAATTCCACTAACTAATTATTTTTAGTATTGACTAATGTACAAATCTTTTTGATGAGAAAAGGTACCATTTTAAGCATATCTAATTAACAGTTAACTAGAAGGACCATCATATCCATTTCACATAACCACCACCATTTGTAAACAAACAACAATAACATCCGATAAGCTGTGAAAGTTTGTGTCAGCAGCTTGATGCATAAAATACTGTATATAAAGTGGTGGGATGTGCGCAATCAATGAACAGTTTTTTCGGGTGGGCAGTACTTTTCTTTTGTGGAAAAGAGTAGTGTGTTATAAAATAAATGGAACATTGACACTTATCTCACAACTAGTAGTCATGTATGCGAAAAAAAACCAGTTAATACTTTCATATTATCAGTGATGTTAATAAAGCACACATCAAATTATTATAATTTATCGATTATTAATAATAGAAAGAACAAATAATTTAAATTTATATAATATAATAACTTTTTCAAAACAATATTATCAAAAAAATTGTCTTAACATTTTGGTCTTTCTTAATACTTAGTAATTAAACAAATTCAGATATAATTAAAATATAAATATATTTATGTATAACATATAGTTTTAGTTACCACAATAACAACACTTACCAATGATTTAATCATTATGCATTTGCTCGAGGCAATGCTCTGACTAAAAACAACTTTTCTCCTTGCTTATTGGTATATATCGGAGCTCTTTGATAATGATCTACAAGTTGATCAAGAGTGTGAAACTTGCGTTGACCAATACAATACAATGCTCCTTCAACATGCACTCGGAAATGTTTATTACGTCCTGGTGCTTTTAAAGACACTGAATAATCTCCTACCTGTGTAAATAACAATATTATAAGTTTTTTTGTAAATTATTTAGTTTAGTTATAGTAAATATACATTAGTCTCGCTGTCTCTAACTAAGAAATCACCATCTTGCCCATTGTTGTTCAATACTGTATCACATTGAGCTCGAGTTATTGTTCCATAGTACCATGGTTTTCCCACCAAATGTGGTTTATCAATAACTTTTACACTACTGGCTGCTTGAGTTAATGGTTGGGCTAAATATTCGCTGAGTTCCTTTAAATTCACACATATACGTAATAATTATTTCTTTCGAGATTCATAATACCATATTTTATATTAGTATAAAAATGTTGTTTACCTGTAAATAATTCTTCGGTACTAAGCCAATTTGGCCTTGGCCATTTCTAGCTCTATACCATTCTGGATCAGCAGCAGGTCTTTCCAAAATTTCCAGGCGGTCACCTTTCTCAAAACTTAATTCCTGGTCAGATGTACCTGTGAATGGATATAAGGCAACAACAATGTCCAACACATTCTCAGCCATTGCATATGTGTGGAGGCCCATGTCATCTCCATTATTGTCGTCTTCTTGAGTGGTATAATTACTCGGAAACCAACCGGCCATACAACCACTTTGACCTCTCCACCAACTGTAATTAAGTTTCAAATTTTAACTACATGTATTGAATTATAAGCAAATATGGTCGTCATTTGTACAAAAGCTTTACCCATCATTGCTCTTTTCAAGAATTAATATTCTTGTTCCTTTGATTAAAGATAATTCGTCAGGTTGTTGAGCTTGGTAGTTGTACTTTACTAAAGCTGTACCAATTGCTTCAGATGGATCAGCTGGTAAACGTCTGGCCATTGTAGGAGATTCACTTACAGTACGGCCATTGCCATGACTACTGCATGGTAATGTTTTGCTACCAGTGCTTGAGTTACTTCCACTTTTTTTCACCTTTTTCTTTATGCTAAAGTATGACAAAAGCAAATAAGTTAAAATTATTTATAATTTAAGCAGTTATTTACTATAATTTTAAGTAAATATTTTTAACCTATCAAAGAGAGAAGGTTTTTCTTTCTTCACATAGTTGCTTGGCACATAACCTGAAAATCCACGAGCATTTTGAACTCTCCACCAATGTTTTGAATCATCCAATAATAAATATCGATCATTTTTTCGTAAATCTAATTCTTGAGCACTTTGCGCTACATAGTCGTATTTAGCCACAACATAACAGTTATCTTCTTGGTTGGATTTATTTACTAAAAAAAATATTATTTTAATTATATTATTAAAAATGTATTAAAAAAAAGTCCAAGTCGAACAAAAAAGTATAAACCACAAATACAAAAAAATGTTTACCTGGTCTCATGGCGGACATGTGATGATGATGAGGTGTGTGTGGCGGAGGGCGTATGTTATTTGCTGCTGACTTGCCTTGCCAAGTAGCTGATTCCCGATCGGCAGCTAACAATCTAGCTTCCAACATAACTGTATGGACTTAGTATAACTATAGCAATATTTTAGTTGTCTAGTGAAAATTTAAATGCATTGAAATTGACAAGACATGTCCTGAAAATATAAAAATAAGTAATTACTCTTTGTTTTATTAAACATACTAATACAATATATTAAACACTCTATTTATTTATAATATCAACGCATTTATCAACATTAGTTATTATTTAAAATAATAAATACTAACTATTATCCAAGAAAAAAAAACTTATTCCTATACAATTTTATCAGTTATTAGTTTTATTACCATGTCATTAGCTCATTGAAATTAAGAGTAATCAAAATCGTTATTATTATCTAAGCTTGATTATTTACTTTGTGTCAGAATTGTATCTAGAGGTCCAAACTATTATAAACAAATATTAAAAGAAATTATTTTTATATCATACATTTATATACTAGGTAATTCAAGTATTCTAACTAGTTTATTATACTTCAATAATACTTATGCAACTAAAATATTACTTTTAATTTGAAATTGTTTAAATAATAACATCAAAATGCCTACATAATGAATAGACATAAAAAAAAAAAAATGAACGCAGTGTAAATGTGTGATCAAGCATGAGATTATATTTAGTTATACTGTTATAACTATTAATTTTACACTGTCTGGGTAAATAGAATACACATTCAGAACCTGCTACAGTAAACTAAAAAACACTTTTAGAAATATCAACCTCTTTTTTAAAAATAGTTCAAAACTGGATGTCCTTAAAATGTTATTCATTTATATAATTGTATAATAACATAAAATGATAACATATTTAAAATGTTAAAACCATGGATGTATATGCTGAATATTATGCTAATTGATAATTTAAGCCTCAAAGCCTAAAACACGGCAGTTTATATTTATTGAATAAGTCAACTAAGTGTATTAGGTGTAGAGAAGACATTATTTAGACTCTTATGGAGTATTACACTTAACATAATACATTTAAATCATTACATTCTGAATTTGGCAGTTTTGATGACAAACAAGTACACATTACAAACATAATGAAGTTCAAATGTGATTTTCCTGGTATCTTTTAAGTGGTCTAATCTACTGCAGCCATGGGCAATAAATCAAACATTAAATAGTACATAACGTAACAAGATTAAAATTAAGAATGTATAACATGACCTCAAGAATATTTAATAAGAATTTTGAAAACTACAAAGTAATAAAACATACAACTTAATTTAATTATGTTTATGTTGACTGATGACTGTAACCCACACAAATAATACTTATATTTGGCCAACAATAAATTTAATTTTATAACTCAGAATTAAACTAATAGGTAATATATAAAAATATTTTAAATGATAAAGGAATCTAGGAGTATAATGGGGAAAAATATTTTTAAAAATACATTTGTAGAAATGTCTCAGGGTAATTATTTAGGTCTTCTATTACTAATGGTAAACTTCCTACATTTATTTATAATAAATACATTTAATGTGAATAATAATTTTAGATTACAATGACTGTATTGATTTTACCTCAAATTTTACAATGTGTTTTTTTTCTTTTTTGAGTTAGAATACATTTTAAGACCTGTTATAAGTACCTATTCAAAATAATGATTCATTTCTCAATATCAGTATGTTTTCCAATGGGAAAACCAATCTTATATTGGTACATTCAAGAGATCAACATTTCAAATTCCCAGTATTTATCAAGAGTGGAAATTTTTAATTGGTTTTAGGTGTAACTTAAAAAAAAATTAGTATAGATACATGACATTTTCACTGAATGTTTTTATTAGCATTTTCTATGAACGATAAAATTTAAAAATAGTATTACTCCTTTTGAGCTGTTAATAGACATTTTCAAGGGATTTTTCTACAAATATCAATAACATTTTATTTGTTAGGTAAAAAAGTTTGAAAATGAAATACAAGGCTCCTCACACATTTTTACAATACTAGTTTAAAAATACTTAAAATATGTAAACAACATGTTATTTTTATCAGCATTTAAAAATTATTTTGAAGTTAAAAATGTAGGTATAAAATGTACAATTTTTATAGCTAAGAATTGAAATTTAGAAAGAGGTTCCTCAAAAGTAGTCCATACTGTAACTCAAAAATCAAAAAAATGAGTTAACAATTTTTTATAGACATTTTAAGTTCAAATTTAAATAAAGGGTATCAATTTTAGTTATTTTTTAGCCGTTTTTTAGTTAATTCAAAAATATTATTCCTGGGTACTTGAAACTTTTAATCTATATACATATATAAATTATTATATTAGTGTATACGGTAACGGTCCAATATGCGACCTACAAATGTTCCTCGACCTACCGATAAGATAGAGTTGATCTACAGGTTTCTTTATCGCGATAATTGTCATTATGGGCATTTTATTCTATTTTATTTTATTTTTGTTCTCCGATAGGTATACCTACTTACAATCTTTTATAATACTTTACTGTCCTCAGTTAGTACAGTTCCGATTTCATTCGTATGTGTCGTGCGCTCGTTTTGTGATTTTTTATTTAAGTTTTATTTTGTGCGTGTGAATTTTTTTGTTCAAACTCAACATGACATCTACTATTGGTCACCTATATAGGAACATTATTAGAGATGAAGTGGTATGTGTTCAATATTTAAAAGACCGAGGGCTATTACTGGCTGATAATCCGATGACATGTATAAAGGTGAAAGACGGTGTCGTATGTAATGGCCAACTTGTGGAATATTTAAGAAGTAGTAAAAAACGAAATTCTGATGGCACTATGAAAAGAGTTGTAACATTACGATGTACAAAACGGGGTTGCCAAACTTACCAATCGATTCGTAAAGATAGTGACTTTTTTACATACACGGATCTTAACGGCCGTTGTAATAGTCAGCTATCATTATGTGAAATAATGGAAATAGTTTGGTTCTGGGTTAATTTAGTTCCAATAAATCAAGCTGTAAATTGGACTAGAAGAAGCAAAAACACCATAATTGATTGGTATAATTTATGCAGAGATATACCAGTATATTGTTTTTCAAAAAGAGAGAAAATGGGTGGTCCTGGTTGTACTGTCCAAATTGACGAATCCCTTTTTCAGGGTAAAAGGAAGTATAACCGTGGTAGATTACAGCGTGGGGACCATCAGCCATTAAGAGAAATAAGTAATTCCAGCAACGAAGATTCTGATGAAAATGAAATAGTACGTACAAATAAAAATTATGGGAATCGTATAGTAGGCCCATGGGTATTTGGAAATTGTTGGAAACGGCCAGACTTATTATTAGAACAGCGATTTTTTATAGAAGAAAAAAGGGAACGAGAAACTATTTTACAAATTATTAAAAATGAAATAAAAACTGGAACGACAATTTATAGTGACCAATGGAGAGCGTACTCAACATTAAATCATCATGGATATATTCATCAAACAGTTAACCATTCAGAATTTTTTATTGACCCGGAAACAGGAGCACACACTCAACAAATTGAAGGCTTATGGAGAATTGTGAAATCCAAATATAATATAAAAAAAAATGGGGCGTCTCCTTTACTAGATCGACAACTCCAAGAAGAGTGGTGGAGATCGTGTCAAAATCCAAAAACCATTTTTGATGCATTTTTGACTGATATGAAAAATACGTTTCATAACAATACAGACTGAAACAATACATATAGTTATTGACGACACTGAGAAGTGGAATGAAAAACAATACATATAGTTATTGACGACACTGAGAAGTGGAATGAAAAAAAGGTTAGTTAAAAATTAAAATTATTTGTATTTTACACGTATTGAACCATCAGTGTGTAGGTCGCATATTGGACCGTAAATCAGTGTGTAGGTCGCATATTGGACCGTAAATCAGTGTGTAGGTCGCATATTGGACCGTTACCGTGTATACAAACAATGACATTATTGAATGGCAAAAATAAATTTCACCTACTGTAGAAAGTACTAATGCCTAATAGTAAAATAAATTACTTTAATATTAAAAAATAATAAATAAACTTGGTAATATTATAGGCTGACAGAACATCTTCTCTAGGAAACGTTTCTTATATTCAATGATTATATATCATTGAATTCAAATTTAACAAACTCATTAAATGGCTTCTCTAGATACCTTGTCTGCTTTTTTTTAATGAATTAAAGTATGTAAGTACCCATAGAAAGATAATACAAATTTTATCATAGCATATAGGTAGGTACCTAATCACTCAATAGTAAAACACATTTAAGCCAATAAAAAGAATAGGCTTAACTAAAACTAATTCATCTGTAATTGTATAAATTTGTTCACTACCCACCAATTTAGTTTATATGAAACAAAGAAAACACTATTCTATTTTGTACCAATATCATATGTATATATATACCCAATATTTATATTATTATTATTATATTACCTACATTATTTCATTATAGGTTATAAATACAATTTAATATTATTTATCAAGAATAGGAATAAGCAAAGATAAATTATACTAATTAACATCTTTAAAAATGTTTAAATCAGTTTAAACCTATAGTAATAGCCTCGATAATAGCAGAAAAGGAATTTATTAATTTTCTAAATGTTGGTACTAGGTATTACAATAACTTAATGTAGTTGTATTTAAATATTATAATTTGTAGTAGGTATACTACCTATCTAAGTTTTTTTTTATATACAAACGGTTGTTTGTTTACAATATTGGTATCTCAAGTTAATACAGCTCAAATAATATTATGTCTAAAGACAGTAAGTAGAAGGTAAGAATATAAAAGTAAATAGCAAATTTTGGATTAATAACACCCACTAATTGATATCTCAAGTTATTAACCATCATTTGGCATGCTCATTTGTGTTATCTTTATAATCATTTATGATGTACCTATTTATTTGTTTATATTAGTCATGTTAAAATTATTTTCCTTAATAATGATATAATAAGGTCATAACACTTAGTATAAAAGTCAGGGTAAAAGTGGTATAAATTGTGTACAAGAATGCATTCACATTTAACACATCGGAGGGGTAATGGATATGCTGATAACAAAAAATAATTTATTTTATAATAAATGAGTAATAAGCCACAGAACACCAAAAATAAAAGTTGCTTATGCACCAATGTCGGATAATGTTTGAAAGAGTCCCTTATCAACCAGTCTATACTAAGCTCGCATGCAATATTATAATTTGTAAGACGTCCATCTACACGACCATTCAAAAAGTAAATAGATATATTGAACCCGACGACTCGGGGTACTGTGATATAGATACATACACAAGTCTGAGCAAGAACTCATGTCACAAACTGTCCAGTCCTTGTTCTGAAGATAGTAGTAAATACCAAAAATGCAGTCGGTAAATCTACAGTCAGCCAGGATAAAATAATCATGATACATGCACGTAGGTAGGCATTGTTTCTCAATCGACACTTCCTCATAATTCCGTTAGACGTAATCATCAACGTAAAACAACTAGGCAAGTACCTACTTACCTACCTGTGTAATAATATGTGTTTATCTTAAAGAAACACCTCTACTTCCCCCTCCACGACCACCATAACTTATGGTCCATAAGGTACATGAAATAAGGTTTGGGCGACGGGGCTAGAGACCCTTCTCGGACGACGAGTCGCCGGCCCACGGGTGGGTGGTGGGTTGACTCGACCAAGTAGTCGATCGGGTGTTCAGTGTGACTCACCTTTGTGTTCGGCGTGCGAGGAGCGGACAACGAGGCGGCGGCGGCGTCGGTGACGTCGCTTGCGGGGCAGCTAACCACCGTGGCTAAGGTCCGCGGCGTCTAGACGAAAAGCAGCGGCCCGGGACGACGACGCGGAACACCAACGAGACGGCGAGGAGACAAGCGCACCCGATGATCGAATCAATGTCGGCGGCAGCGGCGGGTGTCGAGTGCGTGCGGCGGCGGCGGCGTCGAGTGTGGTCTCGGGTCCTCCGTACGTCGCGTCGCGAGTCGTCGTCGACGGGCGAGCAATCACACAAACACACACACACACACACACGCGTAACAAACACCGTCGCTCGCGGTATACGACGAGTGATGATTGCGTGCGTGTGTGTGTGTGTGTGTGTGTGTGTGCGTGTCGGCGGCGGCGATCAGAACACGCCCAGCGGAGTCTGCCGCCGCCGCCGCTCGCGACTCTACCGGCCTGCGATCGAGTTCGCGAGTGTTGTGACGTGCGTGCGCGCGCCCGTGCGTGTGTGTACGCGTGTGGGCGCGCGAGTGTGCGTGCGGGCGCGTGCGCGGTGGGCCCGGGGGCGAACGACGGGCGGCGCGCGATGCCAAAACTTTACCGTACCGCGTGTACGTGTGTGAGTTTTTTCGTTTTATTATTATTTTGTTATTATTCCGCAGTCGGCAGACACGACGCGCGCGACGGTTGAACGGCGCTCTCTAGTGTTGGCCAGCCGGTGAGCCGTTCACAACGCGGCGAAACGTATTATTTATTATTGTCGTTAGGTAGCCTACCTGAGGTAGGTAATTGTTATTGTTGCATGTCACGACTCGTTGTTATTGTTATTATTTACATTGTCCACTTTGTTGTTACCGTCTACGTTGCACAGAAATCCTGTATTCGACCGTAATACGGTGTGTTCCAGTAGAGCCAATAGTAGCCTACAACTACTCTAATTACTGTACTACAACTACTATTAGTGTCCAGTGGCATACCGAAAATGGTCTTTTTGGGCGATTGTCTCAAAATCTAAAATGCGTGGGTGTGTGGTACATATTGAAAATACAAAAAAAAATAGATAATATTGTTCGGCACATAACACTCAGTGTTCACACACTTCAACTACTACGCTACAAGTGCCCACAACTTTAAACTGTAACTGTATCCCACACAGATATGTTCGCGACACACTCGTTGCCCGTTCTAAGACTAAAATATTAAGTTTTATTAAAAAAAAATAACAAAATAAATAATACCTACTTGATGTCTATTGAACAAACGATATTTTTAAACGACGCGTTAGGTGCAAAATATAGTCGACTTTTTGGGAGTTTTCCTCCTTCAGACTTTTCAGTAAATAATTATTATTGTCTTTTTTTCTAAACTGCAGACAACAACGATAAATATTAAATAAAATGCTTCTGTATACAATAGTAGTATGAGTTTATTTAGACCCGGTGAGGAGAATCGAGAAGACTATGAATAGTATGTGGTTGTGACTCGTGAGAGGTTAATCCATTTTTTCTTAATTCATAATCTTTCACACACTTTCTAGTCGTGTAAAATGCAGGTTAAAATTTGCGGTTATTGCGTATTAGCATGTACATGGAAACCCAAATATACTTGCTAGCTGCTAAAAAGAATTTATTTCGTATACCTGCATGATACAATATACATCAATGCTCTACCAATGCTCTAAAAACCAATTAATTATGATATTTTTAAATATTGCTGAATTGCCTTTTGTCATTTTTGTGGGTTGGACATAATCGGTGAAACAATAAAAATCAAAAAGTCTTATTGTAAGACTAGAAGTCTGGTTATATTGACATAATGTCATAGTGAAAATATGATATATATATTACTATAAGCTACATAGGTATATACTACATTATTACCCAGTATCTGCTGCAAGTTCCAGCAGTATTTAACCACTGATTCTAAGATCGGCGTGTCTGGTGTCAATTGTGGGCATAATGTGTAGCAAATAGCAATTAACCTAGGTACCTACCGCAGCTGCAGACGGCCGTCGACGTCCGGTATTATAGTTTATTATATTATACAACAAACTTGCAATGATGTGCGTACATCTTATCGCAATATTATATTATTATGTACCTTTTATATTATAGCAGCACCACCTGGCACCTATATTTTATGTAAATAGAATATATTATACAATATACTAAATCATTATAATATTATATATGCCATTATGGTCGTTTAATGTATTGTCGTGTTGATTACCTTTCACGATCGTATTGTCGACGTCGAATAATAGGTCGTGTAGAATACACTATAATATGTAGCCACTTGAACGTAAAGGTACACCGTCGGTTGTGAAGGACCCTATGAAGTCGTGAACGTGAAGTATATTTTAAGAGGACGCCACACTCGCCATGTGTTGTTTATACTTGTCTCAATGTACAACAGAAAATTTGCGTTCAGCAGAACCGATTTTGTGTTAACATTAATATTAGATTGAATTGACCTATTATCAAACTTAAAAGTAAAATTAGTATCTGGTAAGTAGTAGGCTTTTATTGATATTTTAATTAAATAGTGAGTTATGTGAAATATTCCTATTTTAAAATGCCTAAATAAAATACCAATTATAAACCAGAAATCTGAGATTTTCCTTAGATAATAACCTATAATTTTACCTGTAAATTTGATCATAGGTCAACTCGCTATGATATTAAAGTTGACACTACAAAATTAGTTTTATAGGTAGGTACTCAACACAAATTTGCATTGTTGTACACCAGGGGTGGAAAACATGAATATGTTCGCCAGTCACATATTATATAAATGCAATGATGATATGAAAAGCCAAAATGTTTGTCAATACATTTTATAATTGTATATAATTTGATCTAATCTGTATTTTTATAACACAAAAGTAATTAAGTTTAAGATAGCTAACAGCCGATGTATATATATATATATATATATATCGGCATACACACATCAAATTACGAATTCGTTTAATATTATTTTGTTTTAATTAGATGACGAGTTTTCTAACGAATTTCAGAAAATCCATTTTTAGTTAATGTCAATGAAAACGGATCTCGAAATAGAACTTTTGGATTTATTAGAATATGAAGGTCTTAAACAGTTTATAAAAAATTGTCTCTCTATATTGGAATTTTTTAAGCATGTTTCTATTTTAAAATACCCGAATATTAAAAACTATGCGGTAAAATTGAAATCAATTTTTGAAATGACGTATTCATATGAATCGCTTTATTCATCAATGAAAATAGTTAAATCGAAACATCGTTCAAATTCGGCTGATGACCATCTCACAGAATTACTAAGAACTGATCTTACATCAATGCAACCAGATCAAGCGTACCTACTAAAAAAGTACACGAAAAAAATACCAAGCGAATAAATTTAGCTTGACTTTTATTTTTTTTATTTATTATTCATACTCATTTATTTTATATTTTTGTTTATTAATCTGTATTCTATACCTAGCCTTACATATACCTATATAACAAAAACTTTTTTTATTATATTAATACATATGAAAAAAATATTAAAATTTTGATTTTTGTTAATAAGATACGCCCCAAATTAGCCACCCCTGTTGTACACTATGTTACTTACACTATAGTACTTATGTTTGGAAAACGGACTACGGAGACCACACATGTGATATCCTCTTAATCTAGTGTGCAAAACCAAATGTCGTAAATCTTAATGCATTTAATTTAACGAAATAATAATGGATTGAACCTTAAAATATCGTACATAATATGTCATAAATTATGACTCATAATCAGGGCTTGCAAACGTTATAATAACGTTATTATTATAACGTTATATTTGATAAAAAACGATTGAAATTTGTAAACGTAATTATAACGGAAAACGATAAACATAAATAAATAAATAACACAAAACTAAACGTAACGTTTAACAAAATATATGATATATCATTAAACAAAACATAACGCAAAACGGTATATAATCATAATATTTATTATTTTGTGTGTTTTTCGTTCGAAGCATTAAAGAAACGCCGTTGATTTTACTAATGCTATCCGCTTATTAGCGGGTGAATTAATACGGACTACGCAGTCACTGGTATATAGGTAGTAGGTACCGTAATAATGATACATTGATACGTTTATATAACTTATAATTTATTATGTAATATTACAATCAGACACCCGTGGGCCTTGGTTATAATTAAAATAGTAAACAGATGCTCCTAAGATTACAAAAAAGGGCATTGTTGTCAATCTAGATACACAATTCATCCGTTTAATAATTTTATATAATTTATGCAAATTGTAATGATGAGTTATATACTTATATAATAGGTTAGCCTATAATATACATGTAACTTAAGGTTATGGTCAGGCTATATATTTGATTTCGGACAAAAACAATATAATAACCTGTAAATTGGTTTTGTATTTTTGTGGTCTATACTCTATCTGACCACATATTTTTGAAGTCAGATAACTTCCTAATAGAATTATATCATTCGGCGGACATAGAATGAAATCAAAATATTTGGTTTTTTCAGCCGAATCTTTTCGATGGCATGAATTATTTTTAGTCGATATGACGAAAATATGAGTACTTATATTTATGTATTTTTCTTGTAAAGTACAGATTTACAATATTATATGTTCATTTTGTTCAATTACATGGGCTGTGTCCGGTGTTTTTAATTTTATAGAGTGAATATTATTATGTTTTTACTGTTTTACATTAATTTTTAATCAGTAACCGGTAACACACGTGCAGGTTTACTTTTTCCTTGAAAATATACTTAATCTTTGTGCTTAAGAACAAAATTTTTGAAGTTTTTTGTCATAAGTCATAATTTATTTAAATATGGGTACTGGGTAGGTGCTACATAAAATATCAAATCGTTTCAAAACCAGAGTTAAAAAACAAGTCTTCAAAAAATAAAATTTTGGTTTTGTGAAGGACGTAGTAAAGTGAATTTGTTCTATATGTACCTAAACATGTAGGTTATGTAAGAAAGAATTATTTCCAAAATTATAAATATATAAATCAAATATCTATTATAAAGGGGGCAAAATATTATATTAAAAATGGTTTTAGATGTATAATATAATTTAATATAATAACTAGACACAAAATATGTTTACGAAATTTCCGAAATTTTATTTTTTCACTTTCGGACCCAATTCGGAATCTGTACGTGAGTTATAATAAGTAATAAACAAATAATGAGTTATATATCGTTCGCATCGTTTTCGAATGGAATATTTGTAATACACCGATCATAATAATAATAATAATAATATATGATTATCGGCGGCTGCGGTTGA